AGAAGGGAATGGACATACTATCGTGGCGTGTGTGTGTGTGTGTGTGTGTGTGTGTGTGTGTGTGTGTGTGTGTGTGTCTTCTTAGGAAGAACTGGATTTCATAGTAAAGAGTCATGGTGCAAGAGGTAGTCTAGAAAAGGGAGGTGACCAGCAAAGGGCCTCATACTTGAGCGCACAGCTCAGCAGCCTCTGAGGCTAGAGAGGAGGTGGAGACACTGCAGGCGAAAGGCTTTAGCCTCATGTTCAAAGGGCCTTGAAAAGTCAGCTCAAGGGAAGAAGAGCCAGGACAGCAGGGAAGCAAACACGGCCGGATTCTATTTTCAGGTGCAATTTGGCAGTGTACATGGAGGAATAGTCAGGACAGGACAAAAAATACCTGCTGGGAAAAAGAGGAACTCACGTTTAGGTGACAAATGGTGAAGAGCTTTACTTAGCAAGAGCAGAGGGGCCGACATGCGGGAGCTGGATTTAGCAGGGAGAATTAAAAGCTAACTATATGTATTTGTAAAGAAAAGAGCAAGTGATGAGGGGACTGTGGTGTCTTTACAGAGTCCCCACACACCTAATAGCGCTGAGCAAGACAATGTGGGAAGGGAGCTAATTTCTAAGGGAGAATGAAGAGTATGCCATGGACTTGGGATATCGTTGTGATTCAGATGTGTGTCCTAGGAATGTCCGCGTGTTAAAAGTTTGGTTGCAAGGTGATAGTATTAGGGGCTACTGTGGATCTTTAGTGGGTGGGTCCTTAGGGGAGATCTTTAGGTCATGGGGAGGTTATCCTTAAAGACCATTATGAACTGGTCTCAATCTCTCTTTACGTCCTTGTGGGTGATGTTGGTGGCTCGCTTCATGTTGAACTTCTGCTGGGATGTCCTGCCATATTCAAGGCTGAAAGCAATGGGGCTGCCCAAGTTTAGACTGAAACCTTTAGGTCATGACCTAAATAGCCTTCCCCCCCCCCCTTTTAATAAGTTGGTTGCCTCAGGTATTTGGTGACAGAAAGGGAAAGGATGGATGTTAAGCATTAGATATCAGTGGTTAGTTGAAATTGTGTGTGTGTTAGATACATAGACCTACATAAGAATAAGGTAAGGAAAAGTGTGACACAGAATTAAAGTCCGTAAGTGCCACTAAAGAGATGGGAAGAGGCTAAACATGGGATGTTGGGCAGGCAGCCCCTAAGCAATTGTTCGTCTATTTCCCTCTTTTCTTTTGCACCTTTCAAACATTACATAACCACCTGACCCACAAGCTTGCACATTATTCCCATTTCCTAAGGAATACGCTCTGATGGGAGATGGGACTCCCCCCCCCCACATCACTCCTCAGAAAATAAGCGTCCTATTATTTCCCCTCAAAATGTTAGAGGCGTTTTAAAACTTAAATCAAGCAGATTCCCTAGCCTGCCTCTAGGAACTATATCCAGAAAAATAAATGCGTAAGCCATGTAACCAAAGTCCTCCAAAGAGGCTCTACTGTCTGGTTTCCAGTGAGTGTGATGATGAAATGTAAGCTAGAGGAACAGGAAACAGGATGAAGGAAGGAGGAGGGATGTGTCTCCCAGAGACCTCCTGCTCTTGAGAAGAAAAAGGGGGTGATGAGTGTTCTTAATTTCAATAAGAGATTTTCTCCTTCTGTGGACACACACACACACACACACACACACATGCCTTGAAGTAGCAGCAAACTCCCCCCCAACCTCTACCTACCGAATGCTGGGATTACATGCATGTCCTACCTACCGTACTTTGATAAACTTGTGACTATTAGGAGAGTCTCTCCCACCCACTTCGCAATTTTTTACTTAATCTTTTCTGCTCAAAATCAGCCTACTTTTTAATTTTAAACAAGTATACAGACCGAGCATGATAATTTTAGAAAAGGGGACCTGTATCATTCCTCATGAATATTTAAGAGGATTAGTTTTACAAGCTAAAAGCTTCAGCAGAAATGCTTAAAGTTACGACAATCTGGCTAGATACTGTTGCTTGCCCATGGCTATGAACCTGAGATCTGTTCCCTCTTTGCAAAGAAATGTGATAAACAAGCGCTGGGAAGGGTTGAAAGAAGCTGTGGCAAGGAGCACAGATTTTCCCTTCTAGGTAATCAGACGGATAGAAAGAAAATTGAAAAGAGAACAAGTTTCTCACTAAGTAATTCCGTGTTATTTAATCTTGGGAGCCACCAGCAGCGTTCATGCAGCCCTTTGGGTAAATTGACCTGGGATTAAAGCTGAAGAGAGTGAATAGAAACTGAACAGCATAGAAGCTGCTTAAGTGGGGGGGGGGGTGGTAAAGACAACTACCACTCCTCCCCTGGGAGTGTACTTAGAAAACAAACAAACAAACAAACAAACAGTGCTGGGGACATAGCCCAGTGGTCCTGTGCTTGCCTGGTACTGTACAGCTTTGTGTGTAATCTCCAGTACTGCAGAGCAATGTTCCCTTCCCCTGCCAAAACAAACAACAACAAATGAAAAACTTAAAGTCATTCTCCTTGGTGTACTGAACCTCTGGAAACCCCAAGGAGCCATGTTTTAGGGATTTAGGGTTTTAGGAATCAGTAGTGCTTCTGTACTCCTTGGTGATTTATCTAGAAGGGAGCCAGGGAGGCTTTGGGGAGGGTGTAGAGAGAATGAGCGGCTTAGAACTAGTGACCTCAGCGTCTTGACAGGGGCAGGAAGCATAGCCATGGCCCGTGGCTGACGAGGTGAGGCCTGTGGGCAACACCACTTAGCAAGCCTTGTGTTGCTAACTTAGCTGCCTCTCTAGGGAAGAAAAGCCAGAGGGCAATCCATCATGCACATGTGCTTTACATACAGTGACGGGCACTGGACCCATCCGTCAGCAGGGAGAGAGACCACAGCCGGCAGATGAGTATTTCACATCACTTCTCATTAGCTCCTAAGATCTGACTTTCCCAGACACAACACAAGTTTGAAGTCATTTGAATTTTTTTTTTTCCTTAAATGACAATTCTCATCTCACTGTTGCCATGACAGGATGCTGTTCTGATCTTTTTTTTTTTTTTTTTTTTTTTTTTTTTTTGCTTTCGTCAAATTAATTGTCCGTTCCTTTACAGTGGTTTAGAGGCAAGAACACAGATTCTGTCTGGTATGACAGTCTGGCTTTGAATGCCAACGAGGCCTCACTTGTTGTGAGGGACAGATGTAAACAACAAAGCATGCCAAGGGTGGAGTGGGAGGAGAGCAGGAAGGTGTGTGACAGGCCAGCTGGGATGAAACTTCCTTTAGAACACTTACTTGGGATATTTGAAGTCAGAAAAAAACGCAAACATCCTCAGACTCTAGAAGGTCACAGTTTAACCTAATATTGTCACTATTAATTCAGCTTAGAATAACATGATGTCAGAACTGTAAAGCACCACTGGGACCATCTAATTAAAGCCTCTAATTCCTCCAATAAGGAAACTCAGAAGCCAGAAATGGCTTGCTCAGGGGAAGGTCATGAAGCTTGCATGAAACTACAAAATAATCACGTGCTCTTTTTACTAATATAAGCCAAACTTTAAAAAAAAAAAAGTCTTTGAAAATAATAGAGAATACATCACCTGGGTGCTTGAAGGAAGACTGTCTAGAATGCAAGTAGAAGTTAGTCCAAATCAGTTCTTCCTGCTTCTGAAGAATAGTTTTTTTTTTTTTTTATTCCCACTTTGCTGTCTAGACACACAGTTTTTTGTTCTCTTAGTAATTAGGAAATTTGCTTAAGATGGGAGAATAAAATTAAAGAACAGCAATTGGTGAGGCCTCCTGCTTCATTTTCTAGTGCTGCGGGCCTTTCTCAAGAGTCCTCTTCTCTTCTTTTGGTGGTGTGGGGGCAGCTTTTGCCTGATGTGAAGACGTGTGTTTAGCTATGGGGGTACTTTGTAAGCAGTCTTGAGTCTCCTGTTATTTGGCGTAGACATGAGTTCTTCCATGTAGGGAGCCGAAAGGTCAATGAGAGCCTGCTTAGAACCCTTCCTACATGGAAGCACTGGCTGGTGTTGGGGTACGAAGTACCTCTTTAGGATGAGACCCCAAGCTACTCCCAGAGGGAAGGAGAAGTTCTGAGAGAAGACAGGCGGCCTGGTGGGGCAGTGGTTTGCTCAGGCCCTTGCTCTCTTTTTCCAAAGAGAAGTGTCATGCAGAAAACAAAAACATACACTTTTGTCATACATAAAATTAGATGTTAGTAACGAAAATGAGTGTTCTGGCTGTACTTCCATTGTTCCTCCAAGTGGCTTCTTGCTGAGGAGACACTGATCTTTCTGTTAGTAATGACAGTGAGCTTTCAGGTGTGTTTGGGAGTTTGCAGGCTCCACAGGCATTCACAGACATGTCTCAGTTGTTTTCCTGTCAAATCTGAGAAGATGTCTTTGTCCTTACTCTACATACAAGGAAACTGAGGCCAGGACAAGTGGGCCAGTATCAGATTTGAGAATTCACACACAGGTCTTCTAGTAACTGTCTTTACTGTAGCTTTGTCTTGCACCAGGAAGAAATAGTGTACTTATCAGTGAACACAAAGTACTCATAATGATTGACACATAAGACTGTAGTAGACTTAGTGTAGAAAAGACACAGTGAGAGAGGGGAAATAGATTTAGAAAGATCTGGATATGACTCCCAGTCCTGGCCCCTTCTTCTCTCAAGACATTGTGCATGAGCTGGGCAAACCTCTAAATTTCCTGAACTCCCCTGCACACCTCCTGACAAGGAACTGAGATGAGATACGGATGTGCATGCGAAGGCCCATGGGTACCCGTTTTCATGGCTACCTATTGCATCAAAGAATTTGTTCCTAGACCCTGTGGATAAGAAACAGTCCCTGCCTTGGAACCAGATCAAAATATTGTGAAAAAAAAAAAAAACCCTTCTGTTTCAAGGCTCCGGTGCTTGTCTCTGCCTCTCTCAGCCCTCTATCCTTAGGATAGTTTGTTTGTGTGTTCTGTGGACCTGAGACTTCCTGCTCTGCAGAGTGGGTCACAGTTTGAGCCAATACCTGTATATGATGCACGCCGTGTTCTGGCAGGTGCTGCAGTTGTTGAGATCTTGGCCAGTCCGGTAAAAGTTGCGCCTGTTAACACAGAACATGTTCAGGATAAATGCATAGACAATGTGAGACACACATTTGACCAACTCTTCTCGGTTCCCACTGTCTGGCATTCATGTTGTCCCCAAGATGTATGAAGATACAAGAAAAACGACAGATGAGGGTTTGTTTGTTTGTTTGTTTGTTTTTGTAACAAAGGGACCTCCCTTTTCTGGGGGTACTTGGTACATCTTGAACCGATTTCGAATGTCATGTGTTTTTCCTGCTCATGGTCCTGAAAGATGAGAAATTTTACAAGTGAGTAGCAGCTGAATATAGAGACTCCCAATCCCTACACTTGGTTGTTTTCTGACATCACAGTCTCCTAAGATATTATGGGTTGATTCCTAGTAGCCAGTGCCTGCCAGTTATCTCTCTTTCCAACCTTGTTTGATGAGCTTCAACCATTGCTTTCTCTTGACGTTTAGAGCCTTTCTAGAGGGATGAATAGTCAAGAAATACTGCCTGCTGCTCCACATAACACTACTGAGTCCATCAGTGGGGACAGCATGCTTTGACTCTCTTCTCTCAGAACTGCAGCTTTGTCTTCATGTAACTGATTGGCTAGTGTCAGATGGGCCCAGGTCCTCAAAGTAGTCAGCGGAAAGGAAGCCCAGCTTAGTGGCTCCCTTAAGTCTTTCTTGACAAAGTACCCATAAAACTAAAGCAATGCAAATCTGTTAACTCACTTAAAAGGACAGGAGGACTCTGCCTGCTGTTAGTCCCCCAGCATTCATCAACTTGACCCTCATCTTTATAAAAGTCTTTTTTTTTTATCCTGGACCTCATTAGTTCTTTCCCCAACCTGTTAAAACCCCAAAATAATAGTGATTAACCACGGGAGTCCATCCAGAGCTGCCAAGCCAGAGGATTATCAAAACTCAAACAAAGCAGAGGGCCAGCATTAGTTATCATCTGGGAAAGCAAGAGAGCATAAGCATTCTGAAGATGTTGCTTATGGTGACCTGGGCCCTCACTATGTCCCTTCCTAGACAATGACTCCACTCAGTGGTTGTTAATGTAAAGAAATTCACCTTACCCTTCGGTGAAAGCGCGAGCTTTCTCCAGATCTTGAATCACATTCAATAGAACTTTAATTTTCTCTTGGTTTGAGTGCAGCGATTCCTCTACTGATTGCAGCCGGCCTTGGAGGTCACAGAGTTCCCCCTGTGCCAGGTGACTGTGATTACTCCCGCCAATCTCCCTGCTTTGGGGTTTGTTCTCATGCCTTGGAATCGAGGAAGGGCAGTGCTCGCTTCCAAGACCAGTCTGAAGCGCTGGGCTATCTGACTGGCTGGAGATCTTTGCCTCATGCTCCCAGCACACAGAGACAGACTTGGAGGCACTGCCACTTCTGAGGGATTCCAGGTTCTGGTGAGTGTCACTCGTTGCTGGGCAATCGGAGACTCTTCCTACATGGGCTGGCTGACTATGGGAGCCTGGCTCAGAGGAGCTGTGAGTCCGTGGTGGTGAGGGAACACACATCTTCTTTGACTGAGATGACAGAAGGCCAAGGTCTTTGTCATCAGGGTTGTCTTTGAGCAAAAGCAATTCAGGTGTGAGTTTGCCTGTGCCTGGGGTGTTGTTGGCACTGCTATTGGCATTTGAGCAGGAGGGCAATCTTTCCAGATCTGATGTCATCACTCTTTGCCCATCACCTGGACACATGGCTACCAAAGGGGGTATGGAGTTACTTTCTTCAGCTGAGCTTTCCAGGCTGAAAGTGGGCTCTCTAGCCTCCCAGGTTGGACTGTGACAAATATCATCTGGGACCTGAATGGCAGCTGTTGCTTTCTCTGAGGACCCCCAAGCAGCAGATTCCAAGCAAAAGCTAACAGGCCCATTGCTTTGCACCTTGGACATTCTAGGGAGAAATGGGTGGGGCATTTTGAGCCTTCGAGGCCCATCATCAAGATGCTGAGCCAGCCTCAGGAAGGCAAGGTCAGAGGACACAATATCCTGTTCAGAGAGGTTGCCGTTGACCTGGATGGCACTTGGGGATGCTGTTGGCATTTCTACCAGGGACTTGCTAGTTGTGAGTTTCTTCCTTTTGAAAACTGGGAAATGCTTCCTGAGACTAGGGGAGGTCTGGATAGAGATGCTGCGAAAGCCTCCTGCCTTATGGGACCTGGGGAAAGACAGCGAGTAGGTGGCAGGATGGTGGTGCCTAGATGCCTGTGTCTTCCCCATCACACCCGGGTCTTCAGGGGGTTGGGCGTCAACCTCGGTTATGCCAGTTGGAATCTTAGTGTTTCCATCTTCCTTGAATCGCACTTGCTGCGATTTGCTCCTGCGGTGGTGTGGTTGTTTTACAAGCTCCACAGACTCAAGACTGCTTCGCTTCAGGAGCACAGGCCTCACTTTCATACTTTGCTGGGCCATTGAGCCTCAGTGAGAAGGAGAAGAACCACACACTTGTCCTGGACACATCTCTCTTAGGTCTTTAGAGCTGTATCTAATGATGGAAGCAAGGAGAATGGCCAAGCAGAATGTAGTGGCTCGCTCCTCTTAATACAGGAAGCCCCATTCCCAGCCTGACTGGTCTACGTAGGAGCTGTCCAGAATGCTTCCCCTGCAGCTGAAATATTATGCCACTGTAGTCATAACCACCGAGTAGATAATCAGTGTGTTAGGCTAATTATGAAGCATTTGACCTACCAAGAGAAATGGTGGGCTCGCCTATTGGTGGATTTGAAGGAGCAGTTCTGATCCTAGAGGCTCCTTGTCATGAAGAAAAACACAATAAATTTTCCATTTGGGGGATAGTGCCACACACAGAATGTGTGGACTCTGAAAGGAACCTGCTATGTCTAGACCATAGGGCGGCTGCTTTTCCCAGAGCCTTGAATTGTAGTGCAAGGCTATGGGAACCTTAAACATATCTTCTTGCCATAGTATGTGACTAGGCAGAGTAAGAGATGACCTGGGGCTCTGCTGCTTGGATGGTACATGATGTTGCTAAGGGAACTTCGCCACTTATATGTCAATCAGAAATTTCTCCATTGGGGCCATTATTTTCTTCTATGTTGCTTCTCTGAATTTCAGTGAGGGAAACATAACTTAAATAGCCTCAAAAAACCCAGAAGGGTATAACCAAGGTAGAATCAAGGCATTGAGGAAACTCAGAGGGCTGGGCTCTGTGTTGTGGAGTCTTGGCTGAAGTTCACATATAGGCAGTGAGCAGCATCTGCAGCCTTTATTTGGAGGTGTTCGGCTGAGAATCACGGTCACGGCATCTCTGCGGCCAGCACTGGAGACCGGACAGCCTTTATGAGCAGTCAAGATGTGCCTGGAAAGGGAAAAGCCACAGTCACCAAGTTCTAATCTCTTTCCTGAATTTGAGTGATAGCATCTAGGATTCAGCCCACCATACTGCCTTCTCCCAGTCCCCTTGGTAAGCAGGGTGTCCTTAGGGTACAGAGCCTTAAAACAAAATACCTGTCTACCTAGATCACCTCCTCTTTCTTCAATCACCATGAAGACAACTCTGTCTGCAAACACTTACCTTACATAGCGCTTCTTCAAGGGGCCTTGACAAGGACTTCCTTCTCCTTAGCGTTCGTCCTAAGGCTAGAACACACCAGGATCCCCATCTTAGATTTCCATGACATCATTTGTGAAGTGTCCATCACAGCTTTGTTATTGATAACCCCCCAAAGGACAGATATAGTCCTTCCATAAATGAATGGCTAAACAATCTGTGCTACATCCAACATGTGAAAAACCACTCAACGATTAAAAAAAAAAAAAAAAAAAAAAAAAGTACTGGCATACATCACTCAGATGGAGCAGTAAAAGCAAGTCTGTTGCAAAAGACCGCTTTGCATGGTTCCATTTGCCCGGCCTTCTAAAAGCTAAAACACAATTTTAATAGGCAATATATTAATGACTGCCAGGGAGTTGGGAGGGGGGAGAAGTGGATATGGTGATAAAAATGCATCACAAGGGTCTCTACCATCACATCACTTAGGATACAGGTCCAGCTGTTGTTAAAAAAAAAAGAAAATCTTTTCTGTGCACACTTTCTTAATATGTATGCCCCACAACCCTGTAACTAGAGGGAATGTAGCTGGAGTTTTTGCAGTCTGTGCTTGAGTTTCCGGCCTCCCCTTTGTGCTCACTATAGGTGCTTAATGAACAGGTGCTGAAAGGGTAGATGGCTGCGTGAAGGGCAGGACCACCAGTAGCTGAGGAGAACCTGGGTCTCGGCAGGGCAGGTGGAGGTCCTGGGTCCCCTGCAGGGACAAGAGAACTGATGGCTTCACCCAGCTATGACTGACATTTACTTAAGGACAAGGTTCTTCTCTAACATCTTCATTTTTATTGCTTTCAAGGAGATAAATGTGCACAAAATTCTCCGAGGAGCATGTACCATGTAAGAATAACAGCCACCGTTTATTGGATACTTATTTTTACCATGCTGAGGGCTTTCTACCCATTAATCATAACAGCCCGCAGTTGCTGAGTAGCCACTAATGTGACAGGTGCGGTGCCAAGCACTTTTCAAGCCTGAACTCATTCACCCGTCACAAACCTCTGATGCAGATGGGTGGTGTTCCTCCCATTTTACAGTTGAGGACACTGAGGCTCAGAAAGGTTAAGTAACATGCCTAAAGAGAACCAGCTCGTGGGAGAGCCAGGACCTGACCCTAAACTGTGTAGCTCAGACTTCGGCTCTCTCATACTGACCCCACTGTCTTTCCAGTATAGCATCATCTCATTTAATCCTTACAACAGATGGGTGAGGGTATCATCCGGACTGGTGAGAAAACTCAAGGTTCACAAGAAGGTCAACATACAATTTGAATCTGAACATCTGCAATTTTGAGTCAGGAAGCTTCGGCTCTGTTCCCCCTGGGATCTGCTTGGTATGTGGACAAATGCTGGCAGTGATTTGAAAAAGAAAATAACTCCAGGCATGAGGGATCTAGGGGACTGTTCTAACCTAGCCTTTTCAGAAGAAAGCAAACCAGAGAGATGTGAGTGATAGGAGTTCTTAGCTTGCCTGGGCGAACCAAGAGATCGTAAAAGAAAATAAGTGACTAATACGTCTCCCTTCCCAGCACTTGGATATCTTAGAGAAAGTAATCTGTGTGGTTCCCCATCTTACTAAGCAGATCCAAATCTTGGCTTCTTCAGCAATGGTCCCTTGCTCCTGAAGTAGGAACTGTGGACAACACACTCCATTCCTGCTGCTAGGGGTTTCCTATATAATGGGTGGCATGCCGCCTACACCTTTTCTCTTGGTCTTCTGCTTTCTATGGAATTTCTAGGTAATGCCTGGCCACATTGACTTTCCCCACACCTACTGCCTTGCAAGGGTTCACCTGACCCCTGATCCCAGGTACATGTGTGTGACTGGTCCCAAAAGGGTTTAAAATCCATTGGAGATGCTGCCATAAAGCTTTTTGAAATTACCCACTTTAACCTTCATATTTTAAGTGTATCTTAGACCCTATTTCTTACTCTCTGAAGGACTTCATTTTTTTTTATTGTGACCTGTAAAATGGAATGACACTCAGCAGTGGCTCACTCTCATGAGAAGTATATGAGATAATGTTCACAAGTAGCTAAGCCTACAGCCAAGCAGACAGGAAGTGATCAGCATGCTCTTCTTGTTGCTGCTGTTATCTGCCTGCCACCATGTCTCCTTGTGGGTCCCCAGGACTGCAGCTTTGTGTGTGAGTGGGGAGAGGGATTGCAGCTTACCGCCAGCTGTACCCACAGGGATGTGTAGCCCACCTGTGGGTAAACCACACTCTTCAGCTTTCCTGGAGCAATAAAGGTGGGCTTGAGAAAGAATGAGGAGTTTTAAAGAACCATTACCATCTGGATCACTGGTCTAAAAATCAGGCTGGGATCTGACCATGGCATTGCCACCTGACTCTCCAGGGTGATAACCCCATCACCCTGCACAGCAAACCAACCAACAGCTTTAAATCTGGGCAATGGGGGAATGGGGCCTAGTGAGAAAGGGGGTAGGATAGGACTGGGAGGAGAGGAAGGAGAGCCTATGATTGGGATGTAAAGGGAATAAGTTTAAAAAGTTTAAGTCAGTTTCATGATTCCATGACTTTGCACAGGCTTTTTAGATGCAGTTGAATCTAGACGTATGGTCCTTTTATGAATAAGTCTCTGTGCCCTTCCATATGTAGTGGGTAAGACTACCTGGATACCTGTGGGGACAGGAAGCTTGCTATTGTGTCATAGTCATGTAATTATTGTACATTTATAGTTATAAGTATGTATTGATCACTTGCGTGACTAAGTGCTGTGGGTGCATTTGGCACTACATCTTCAACATGACCTTCTGTATGTGATTCTCATCTTGTAAAACGAGCAACCAGGGTAGATGAGACATTTACATGCCTGAACCCATACATCTTAGACTCTTTCACCTTGAACTTCAAAGCCTAGTCCTCCCAATGCCTGCTTCCATGGTCTTCGTTGTCTCGTTATCCTTTACTTTCCATTAGCTCTTCAACTCCAAGGATGTTAACTCACACAAGCTGGAGCTAGTGACCATTGATTATATACCAGGCATTGTTATGGGTGTCTTTTATTTATTCTCTGTAGCCTCATGACACTCTTAAAGGCAGGTGATATTTGTTCCTTATTTTATAAATGTGGACATCAAGAAACAGAAGGGCAAGTAGTTTGTCCCAAGTTGGTTACCTGGAAAATGACAGAGGTGGCTCCTTAGCTTAAGGCCTGACTCTGGAGCTTGGACTCCTAAATGCTGGGCCTTGCTGCCTTCTCCAGGGCTTGAATCACTTCACACAAAACCTGCAGCAGGTAGGAAACATCCTCTAAGTTCTCCTAAAAGCCAACTATCATTCCAGTTTCAGCGCTGCCCTTTCTCTGGGAAAGCCATGTCCGCTTTAGAAGTTTTCCTTTGACCTTTAAATAGAGCTGATTTTCTATTTGTAAAGATATCATGGGCTTATTATAAAAATTCAAATAACACACGTATTTTTATAAAGGAGGGGGAAAAAATCCACTGGCTACCTTACCATCCAGACCTAGTATGCACCACCAACTTAGATGGGTCTATTCTTTGTGTCTCATGGCACAGTATGTGTGTATACTGTTTGCATGCACAGAATGATGGACAGGAAGCCTTCCCTTCGATGAAGAACAGGGAGAAAGTATCACATCGTGCCGCACAGATTTCTGCGATCCTCCTAACTAGGGGCGGGATTCTGTTATTGTAGAGTGTACCTTACAATCATTAGATAAACTCCGTTTGATGATATTTAGATATTTCTAAGAACGTGGCATTATGCCACAAGAAACATGTTTTCTGTGTGAACCTTGTCTAATTATCTCCTAGGAATAAATTCGTAGAATTAGTAGATGAAAGTGACTATATTTAACACTCTGGTGAAGTTATCAGTTTTTAGCTGAGCCTTCTGTAAAGTTTTGGGTATCTACACCCTCACCATTGTGTACAGGAGGCCTTTTCACCAATGCCTTTACCCTTCTGCTTGGGTAGTTTATAATAACTGGATTTTTTTTAAATCATTGTTAATAAATGAGAGGAAATGTTATCTCTCATTCTTCGGTGGAAATTATTCTAAATGAGTATTTAAAATGTTTTTTAACAATTTATTTTTAATTATATATACGTAGGTAGGCACACATGTGAGGGCAATGTATTAGAAATCCATGAAAGAGTATCAGATCCCATGGAACTATAGTTACAGGTGGTTGTGAGCAACGCGAACCAAACTGGGGTGCTGGAAACCAAACTTGAGTCCTC